CCCCCCCCCCCCAGGTGGTAGGGAACTGCCGGAAGCTGGGCGCTCCCAAGGTCTTCTACATCGCTGCGGACATGGCCTCCCGTGAGGTGCCCGAGCGCGTGGTGCAGTTTGCGCTGGACAAGCTGGGTGAGGGGCGGGGCATGGAGCCTGGGTCCTAGGCCTAGACCTTAGTGGCAAGACCCGAATTGGCGTGGGGGCGTGGTAGTAACCTGTGTCTGTGGGAGGAAATTTATAAGGTTCTGGGGAGTAACTAGGGGTGGAGTCTCATTGCATCCAGGGGGCCCCATTGGATTAGGGACATAGTTTGGCAGGATCCAGGGAGTAGGGTGGGGTCTCTTTAATCTGGGGGACAGAAGGGAAGCTACCTAGGGCGGAGCTAGTTGGGTCAATGCTCTGGGCAGAGTTTGCGAGTTTAAGGGGTGGGGCTAGGGAGCGGTCCAGGGGGCGGAGCCTCAAGGACTAGCTGCTAGCTGACGGGCCTCTCCTGGACAGGCGGGCTGGACTACCTCGTGCTGAACCACCTCGGTGCTGCCCCGGCAGGCACGCGGGCCCGCAGTGCGCAAGGGACGAGCTGGCTCCTGCAGGTGCTCCGCTCCTCCTCGGCTCTGCCTCCCAGCCTCCCGGGCGGGTGCTCCATCCCTCCTATCCCCAGGTCCCACGTCTAAGGTTGCTAGGTTTCACCCCCTTTCGACTTTCGCTTCTAACACTGCTGGTACTCTCCCCCTCCCTCTTCCCCATTTCTCTTTGGACTCTTCCCCAGCCCCTCCTGCTACTAGGCTCCACCCTCTCTAGGCCTTGGCTCCGCCCCCGGGCTTGAACTCCAGCTCCTCCATCTGAGACTCTGCCCTGGTCCTGGTTCCTGCCCATCCTTAACCAGACCCGCTCCCAGGTTTATAGGTTTCGCCCCCTGCCCCCACCTTTTGGGTTTGGGTTCTTCCTCTGCTGCTTGACTCTGTCACCGCCTCCAGGTGAACTTCCTGAGTTACGTGCAACTAACTTCGTTCGCGCTGCCCAGTCTGACAGACAGCAAGGGCTCCCTGGTGGTGGTGTCCTCGCTGCTCGGTACGTTGCATGCGGGGAGGGAAATGGGGAGGCCACAGGCCTGATGTAGGAGAGCCTGGATGGGGCGGGAAGGTTAACTTGAGGAGGGGGAGCAGCGAGTGGCAGCTCAGTCGCTGCCCTCTTGCACCCCCAGGCCACGTGCCCAAGTCCTTCTCCAGCCCCTATTCGGCGGCCAAGTTTGCACTGGACAGTTTCTTTGGCTCCCTGCAGCGGGAACTGGATGTGCAGGATGTGAATGTGGCCATCACCATGTGTGTCCTGGGCCTCCAGGATCGTGCCTCAACTGTGGAGGGAGTCAGGTAAGGCCAAGGGTGCGAGCCGGGGGTTGTGGGGGGCCACCCAGGCCCAGCTGCACCCCCCACCATGCCCTCCTGTCCCCAGGGGTGTCGCAAGGACCAAGGCGGCTGTGGGGCCCAAGGCAGCCCTCGCTGTGATTCGCGGAGGTGCCACTCGCGCCTCCCGCGTCTTCTACCCCTGGCGCTTCCACATGCTCTGCCTTCTTCGGGCCTGGCTGCCTCGCCCAAGGGCCTGGTTCATCCGCCAGGAGCTCAATGTCACTGCCTGAGCTCCTGGGGTGGAGCCCCTTCATCTTCTCAGAGGGGAACTTCATCCAGCTGTCCTGAAGGCCAGACAAAAACAGACACCTCTGAGAGGGTGGCCAAGGCCCAAGATAGCGTCATCAACACAGGAAAGGAAAACCAAGAGAAACTACTAGCACCTGGAAACAATGCAATCTCTGGGTGTGAGAGCAGCTACTGTGTGCCAGTTCCTTGTCAGGGACTTGGAAGGCATTATCTCAGTCTTCTTGGTCATCATTGTTGATGTGGTTGCTACTTCCATTTCACAAATGGGGAAACTAAGGCTCAGAGAGATGTAATGTGGCAAGTCAGCCCTAGGGCCCTGGCCACATCAAACAGGTGGTGTGACCTGTTTGATGAGACACCCTTGGAACCTTTTCTGTCTCTCACCTGGATCCACCTGGTTTGTTCTTTCTACTCACTCAATCTCAAAGCATCCCCCAACCCTTGCCCTAAGCAAGGGAGAGCCACAAAGCTATCTACCCAATGGTAGGGTCCGAGGAGGGGGAGGAGGGAATGAACGTGTTCTGCCCTGTACCCAGCCTTCCTTTTCATAATAAAAATCCTTTTTCCCTTGCACATCTGTTCAAGTTTCTTGGTCCTTCCATTTTGCTCGTAGCAGGCAGGGAAGAGAGGATGTATGTACTAAGAGCTCTCAACCCCATTTTACAGGTGGAGAAACAGGCTGGGAGAGAGGTGGACTCACCCAGGAAGTCTGGGGCAGAAGAAAGGGTACCGATTGTGTACCAAAGGCGTTATTTACCACACAAAGTACATGCCTTGTGCACCAATAATGATAATGTGCATCAGGCCCTACACACTTGACTTTAGGATTGAAAGATAAAAACCAGAAAAAAAATTTTTTTTGTTCTCATCATGCCTCTCATCTCTGCACCACCTAAAATTAAATAGAATGACATCAATTGCCACCAGCGGGCACTATACCACATCGTCTTCCTCGGCCCTAACGTGGAGCTTAGCCTCATATAAAATACCTCCATTTATGGAAGTTTTATTTTGTGTCAGGTACCATACATAATATCTTGTTCAAGCAGTTTGGAATATGTCCTATTATTGCCCTCACTCAATAAATGGAGAAATTCAGGTATTGGGAGGTGAAGTCTCTGGCGCCAGCTTAGTGGCTGAGGAGGGATTTCACGCAGCAGAAGTGAGATTCGAACATTCCACCCACTGGAATAGGGAGGCCCTGCAGCCACAGGCACGCCCACCGGCTCCGACCTCTCGCTAAGGCCCGCTGGGGCAAACGCGCATGCTCAGGGAGACCGCAGGGAATCCTCCAGGCGCCAGGGGGAGCTCGCAGCGTCCCTGCCTCTCTGGCCCGCAAAACCCTCGAGTAGCAGCTATCCCAGAGTTCCGCGCCTTGCTAGCCCTTCCGCCGAGGCAGCCATTGAGCACCAGCAGGTAAGTTGGTCTGTGCGCTGGCGGAATCCACCGCCATCCGTACCCCCTGGCCTTCGGTGCGGCTTGGGGTAGTGGCTGGGTGCAGCGAACGACTGCAGGGGTACGGGGGCGCCGGGAAACGGCTTTCCGGGCGGCGGTGGCCGAGCTGGAATTCACCTCTATTCCTTCTCCCCACCCCTGTCGGCAGCCATGGCTCTGCGCTACCCCATGGCCGTGGGCCTCAACAAGGGCCACAAGGTGACCAAAAACGTGAGCAAGCCGAGGCACAGCCGCCGCCGTGGGGTGAGTTCTGGAGGCCCGCGCTCGGGTTGCTTTTGTAGGGAGGTGGGGTGGGAAGGGCCTTCCGGGCAGAGGGAACGGCCAGGGCACAAGCTCCATGCTACCGAGGAGAGTGGGGAGCCCTGCGGTAGGCTGAGCGGAAGGAAGGGGGTGCCAGGCTGGCCAGAGCAGTGAGTGAAATGTCCTTATATGTCTGCGCGGCGAATGTCCACCTTGACCATACACCAGGATCCTCCAGTCCGTGGGATGGAAGCTGGGGCAGGTGGAGCAAGTTTGGGGGCGGGTTTTGACACATCAGGAGTTTGCCCAGTAGAACAGGAGTTGGTTGTAGGTTGGCATGTAGAGGGGAAAGCCTTTTGAGTGTCAGGTTGAGGAGTTTCAGGCTGGTCAGGATTTATGGGCTTCTGTCCACGTTAGAAACGTCCAAACGTGTAGACAATTTTCATAAGACTTTGAGCCAAACCGATACGTGCCTGGAAGTAAAATCTCTTAATTTTTCCAGAGATTAACAGTCTTGCAATTTTTTTTATGCATTTGAAATTAAGGAAGAAAGCAAGGCGGGGATTGGATTATAGGATAGTTAAGATTATGTGCTCTTGAGGGTGGTCATACCTTTGAGAGGGGCATTTCAAAAATGTGTTAACCTAGATGCACAAGAACAGTGGGCAGGGTTTGCTTAAAAACCTTTCACCAAAGAGGTTACAGGCTTGGAGCATGACTACCCACCCACAGTGACCTCCCCAGTTAGGAATTTGATGTTACAGCACCCCTTTTTTTTCTGCACTTTACACTATTAGATAGCCCCAACTCTGTGTGGCAACCTGTGTCCAATGGGAAAGGATTCCTGGCCCATGGAACAGCCTGTGCAAAGGGCCAGCATGAGGTGCCATTTTAATGATATTGGGGGGATAGGATTCCCGCTTCCATTGTACCAGTCAAAATGCTCCAGCTGGTGGCCCAGACATGCCCCTAAGTGGTCTGGCCTTGGAGCGCTTCCTGATGGCCTCGCTTTATCCCCCACAGCGCCTCACCAAGCACACCAAGTTCGTGCGGGACATGATCCGAGAGGTGTGTGGGTTTGCCCCCTATGAGCGGCGTGCCATGGAGCTGCTCAAGGTCTCTAAGGACAAGAGGGCCCTGAAATTCATCAAGAAAAGGGTAAATGGGCAGTTGGTGTTGGGTGGGACTGGCTGGAAGCATTTAGTCTCTTGCCAAGCAGGTGGAAACATCGGTACCAAGGGGGACAGGTGGAGTGTGGTAGGGACAAGGGTGGGCTTGGGGCCTGCCCGGGCTGATGGCCCCCATTGCTTGGCAGGTGGGGACACACATCCGTGCCAAGAGGAAAAGAGAGGAGCTGAGCAATGTCCTTGCAGCCATGAGGAAGGCAGCAGCCAAGAAGGACTAAGCCCCCAACCCATGTCTAATAAAACCTGTTCAGAAACCTGGGGGTCTTGTGGTCTGTTGCATCTGGTCTATCATGGTAGGCACAGAAAGAAGCAACAGACAGGCAATACTGGAAATGGTCTTTAATCATAATTAAATAGTTCGTGTGTGTCAGATTCCGTGATTAAGCCATAATTGAGGTCCTTGGGTTCCAGGCCACTTGCTGAGTCTCCTGGCGGCTCAACTGCCCAGAGCCCGTCCCCTGCAGTGCGGTTTCAGCTCAGGATGGGCCTATTGGCACCGGCAGTACCTAGGCCGCCATCACCGCTCCACAGCCAGGGCCTCCGCCTGCTCCTTGGGGAAGGCGATGTCAAAGATCTCACAGTAGTGCTCCACAAAATGGACCTCCAGGCCTTCAGTGATGAAAGCAGCTAGGTCATAGAAATCCTTCTTGTTTTCTGCTGGCAGGATGATGCATGTCACTCCAGCGCGCTTGGCCTGGGATGCAGGGGGGGGACCACAGGTTAGTCCAGGAAGGCTAACCCTAACCCTGCGTCACAGATGAGGGCACTGAGGCCCAAGGAAAAAGCACTGGCTTCTGCTGAAGAAGCCTGGGGCTCTTGGAGTGTGGATCCTCCCGAGTCCACCAGGCATGGCCCTGAATCAGTCACAGCACTACTGCTTTACCTGTGGAGGTTGGGCACCTAAAAATGCAATGAAAGCTGGGGGAAAGCAATTTTGAAAATGTAGCTAACTTTAAAATTTTCGAGTCCCACTGCCCAATCTGTACAATAAAGAGCAGTGGAGGTTCAGGAGACAGTGGGGCTCTGCAAGGAGGAGGTGGGCATGTAGGGGATGAAGGGCCTGCCCAGGGCAGACATCTCCCCAACAACTACCACAGTCCTTCAACTTACATATAGTATCCTGTGGGACTGGAGAGGTTTTTCAGTACCGTGATTCTTGGTGCCAGGTCAAGTGGGCAGTGAGAAAGCTGGAGACCCCATTCCTGCCCACAGAACTTAGATGGGGGCTCTTTCTATAGGGAAACCTAGAACATTCTCCACTGTCTTGAAAAGACTGAGAGGCACTGTGGAGGGGGCATCTGGGACAGTCAGTTCAACACAGGCTCCAAGCCACCTAGCTCTGGGTCCAAATCCCATGCCCACTCTGTAAAGTAGGCCATCACCTGGTCTGTGATGTGAATGGTGACTTACCTGTCACATAACTGACTGTATGGCAGTATGGGGCTCTATGCAGAGAGCCCCAGCGGGAAAGGGGGATGGCACAGTACTCACCGCAATGGTCTTCTCTTTGATGCCGCCCACTGGCAGGATCTTGCCTGTGAGGGAGACTTCGCCTGTCATGGCCAGGTTCTGCCGCACTGGCCTGTCCATGGCCAGTGATAGCAGAGCAGTGACGATGGTGCACCCAGCACTTGGACCATCCTTGGGGGTGGCACCCTGGTGGGGAGAAGTAGTGGGTGGTGAACAAGCCTAATGCAAGGCAGGCAGGCCTGGAGCTGGGGGTGGGGGGTGGCACTGTGGCTCACCTCTGGCACATGCAAATGGATGTGTGAAGTCACCAGGTACTCGTTGGTGGGGTCATGTCGCATCAGGAAGGCCCTGGCAAAGGTGTAGGCGATGCGGGCACTCTCCTTCATCACCTCCCCCAGCTGGCCTGTTACCTCCAGGCTCCCATCCTTGTCCCCCTTGCCGTTCTTCTCCCGTGGCCGCCTTGGAGATGTCTCAACAAATAGCGTGGAGCCTCCTGGAAGACATCAGTGTGTAAGGCCTGTGAGCTCTGGGACAGTTCAGATTCCCAAGACAGCCACTCCCTCAATACTGCGCCACTTTAGGGAGTCATCGTCGTCTGCCCCCCCCCCCACCAACACTTCCTTGCCCAACTCTCCTCAGCCTAGCGCCTTCTCCTTCATGTGTCATGTGCCGATGACATAAGGGAACCATTGTGTATTGGCCCTACACCGTGTACCTCCACACTAGACACAAATTCTTACACAATAGCTTTACATATAAGCCAAATAAAGCAAAGTTTGTGGTTCAGAGCCCAGTTCCTTTACACAAACTGCATAATGCTGCGCCCAACCCCTGCCAGCCACTGACAGAACCACCCCTGGGCTATAACAGACTGAACCCCCAGGCTGAGCAATGTCACCTGGGCACAGAAGTTCCCCTCTGACCCCTTCCCCTGCTGGATTGGTGTCCCAGGGTCTCATGCTGTGAAGGACTGTCACACGTGCAAACCTGTCAAAGCATCACCTAAATAAAGCTCATGGAGTACACCTGCCACCCTGTGGCCCCACCTTTCCAACAGCTCCAGTTCCCTTGGCCTCACTGTATGCCAGCAGTCAGCCAAGGGCATTCAAGCAATAAGCTAAAGGCTCAGGTACAAACTTGTCCCAGCGAACACATGATGGGATGTATAGCACTCACCCATGGCGGTCCAGGCCAGCCCCATGACCACGCCAGGTGGTGTTACTTCATACATGCGCTCGACGGTGAACACCGGCTTCCCCACAAAGTCCTGCAGATTCTCAGGTGTCACCTCCACCGACTCGGCCTCACCACTGACAATCTTATAGGCGGACTTCCTTAAGACCTGCGGCAGGTGCAGCAGGGTGATGGGCAGCCCCGTCGCAGGCCACCACTCACCACCTCCATCTGCTCTTTTTGCTTTAATTTTAAATTTGTGTAAAATGCACATCACATAAAAAATGTACCATTGTAACCACATCTAAGAGCTCAGCTCAATGGCATTAAGTACATTCACACAGTACAACCATCCCCACTATCCATCTCCAGAATCTCAGCTTCCCAAACTGAAACTGTTCATTAAACACCAACTCCCCAGCCCCTTGCACCCACTATTCTACTTTTATATCTGAGTCTGACTCCTGTGGGCCTCGCATGAGTGGGATCAGACAGCATCTGCCCTGTGTCTGGCTCACTTCAGTCACATCACATCCTCTAGGCTCACCTTTTCCACCTGCTTCTGCAAGTTGCGCACGCCGCTCTCCCTGCAGTACTGCTTGATGAGGACGGTCAGCACGTCCGATGACAGCTTGGCCTTGCTTTCATCCAGGCCGCACAGGGCGCGGGCTTGAGGCACCAGGTACCGCTGACGGAGGAGAGCTCTGTCAGGACTTTCCTGGGGATTTCCCCCCCTCATGCCCCCAACCCCACCATCCCTGGGTCTCAGGACCCAGGGCCCACCACCCAGCCACAGATTCCTTGCTGGTAAAGATAGGACTGAGGTAGACCCAGGGCCTGCCTTCACAGAGCTCTGGTCCCTGGGAGAGTTGGAGCCATCCAAAAACGGTGTCAGGGCAGGGTAAAGGGTGTCACCTCATGGGTGAGAGGAGCCAGTAAGGCTTGGAGGGATAACAGAGTGTCTCAGCATAACTCAGTGGGTGCCAGGACCCTGAACAGTGGGCCCACAACCTACAGACCCCCAGCCAGCCATCCCTGCTCCTGCTGCATCCTCTGCCCAGATCCAATTCTGATACTCCCTCCAGATGTCATCTTAGATGTCACTTCCTCCAGGAAGGCTTCCCTGATCCCTGGGCTCCCCACATACAGACCAAGGGCCTGTGTGTCAGGTTATGTAGCTGCTGCCCTGAGCAGACAGGGAGCAGTCAGAGGCTCCACGGTCACCCACAGTTCAGCACAACTGCCGTACAGCAGTCAATGGATACAATCCTGAGCACTAGGTAGGGGACAGCCGACTGACACTGCGATTGACCCTGGAGCCCCCAGGAGTCCGTGTCCCTCCTGTTCACCCTTCAGGGGGTTGAAGGAAGCCCCCACCCAGATCCCTAAGTCAGCCCATCCTTCACCCAGCTGAGTCCTTGTGGATGGAGGACGGACATGGCAAGGAGTCCCAGCACCCCTGCTATCCCCTCAGCTAGGAGCTCCTCGTCCCCTCCCTCCCCCTGGGCCCTGAAATCTGGGGCCCAGTGCCTGTCTCAGAGCAGCAAAGGCATCCAGGGGGAGAAACCCTTTCCAGAAAGAAAACAGTGAAATGGAAATACAAGACTCCCCTCTGCACCACTTCCCAGTGCCTTGTCCTGTGTCACTCTTTTTGGGCTATTCCCAATGTGTATACCATATAATAAACCAGTAAACTAAACTGTTTTCCTGAGTTCTGTAAGCTGTTCTAGTAAACTATCAAACCTGAGGAGGAGGTTGTAAGAACCCTGCTTTATAGCTGGTCAGTCAGAGGAGAGGCCGGGACCTGAGTGGTGTCTGTAGTTGGGGCAGTTCTGTGGGATAAGCCCTGAACCTGTAAAGTCTGCCACTAACCCTGAGAAGTGTCACTGAATTGTGGGAAAACTGAACAGTGTGGGGAAACACCCCACACTTGGCGTCAGAGGTGTGAGATTATACAAATAGTTTATAACACTCCTGTTTCTTTCGGTCACACTTCACAAAGGATCACATATTTATCCTGTTTCTTCCTGGAATGGGAGCTCCGAGAGCAGGGTCGCCGTGGACTGTACCCCCAACTCGACTAAGTGCCCAGTATTACTGTGCATTTCAGATGTTCCTTGAGCCTGAGCCACAGTGGGGCACCCCCTTCCCAGGACCTGGACAGACTGGGGATGCCTGGCCTCACCTCTGCAATGGCAAGCTTCTCCTGGGCCACATAGCCTGACACATTGATCATCTCCATTCGGTCCCTCAGTGGCTCCGGGATGGTCTCGGTAATGTTAGCCGTGCAGATGAACAGCACCTGGGGAAGGTGGTGGTGAGGTGCTGAAGGACTGGCTGCTCTGACTCTCCCTGCTAGGGCCAGCCCCCAGGCAGGGCACGCACCTTGGATAAGTCCACGGGCACGTCCAGGTAGTGGTCCAGGAAGTTGGAGTTCTGCTCAGGATCCAGCAACTCCAGCAGTGCTGATGAGGGGTCCCCCTGGTAACCCCGGCCAATCTTATCCACCTGGAAGGGCATCAGAAGACAGATGGTGTTGGCATCTGGTCCTACCCTTTATACCTCACCAGACAACGAGGTGGGGGGACCAGGTGGGCCCAGAACCCACCTGCACT